CATAAAATCACATTCGAAGGACTAATTCCAACACTCTCATGAACATACCAAGCGAGCTAAGCAGTGGATGGAAGGCTAATTTCCTTTTCCTTTGGCTGACTTTCAGCCTAACCAAGAGGCACCAAATGGAAAGGCTATACACGTGATTATCAGGACATGAAAAGCATAGAATAAACAGTTATCAAGCAAGGAATTTCTGGCCCCCAAAAAAAAAAACAGAATTTAGCAAGAGAGCAGATAAAGAACCTGAAGAACTGCTGTCTCCAAAGAAAGATGATACTGTGTTGTATATGGATGAAATCAGACACTACAGGTGCTTCTCCGAAATCTGGACACTACAAGAAGATCTTACTAGATGACATAATTTGCTCATTGATAAGAGTTCAGTAAACAAAAATGATCTGACTTTTCAAAGGTTGTCCCGTGTTATAGGTATTTATTTACCCAGATTTTCCAAGTCTCTCTCTGCTCCGTCACGCTTCCAAGCTAGTCAAACTTGAAGAAGAATCACAGTAATACAGCGGCCTCTCTTCTCTCTCCCTGACTCACGCTTGAAGAAGGCTCAGTAGCATGAACCAGCCCCCATCTCTAGCATCCTTGCGCAGTCCGTCGAGCTCACATTCTCGAGAAGAAGAAGAACATAAGCTCTCACTCTCTCACCCTCCTTTTTGACTTTAGTCGCGGTCTTCCAGCTAAATAAAACTACGAAGAATAGCGCGCCCCAAACCAGACAAATGGGCCCATTTGAAATAGTTTATAAGTAGCTTTTCAATCATGATTTGCAGAATACAAGATAAGTATACAAGAAGAGTTTTGTCTCGGTTTATATGAAATGTACTTATAAGTAATTTTAATCAAGTAGGGCCAATAAAGATGTGAATAGCGAAAATTTGCTGTCTCACGCGTTTCTTCACTTTTTTGTGTTAAGCCTCACAGCTATCAAGAAAAAAAAAATGTAATGGCGAAAGGAGAAGAAACAAATAGAAGGACAAAATAAAAGAAGGGAAAATGACAGATAAAGAAGGCTGAAATAATAAAATGCCAGAATGGGAAGCTAAGCAAATGTATTACCAGATAGGGAAGTGTTGCCTGATTTGGGATTATGCAAATGTTGCACAATTACAAAACAGCCCCTGTCAGTCAGCGTTTGAAAGCGGAGAGAGAGAAGGCGCGCGCGAACACTCCTGCACTGACCGTCGTGCTTCCCGGTTTCTCGCTTCCACCATCCCCATTGTTGCCCTAAAAACGCCGGCAAGCTGGACAGTTGAGGACCCCGAAATAGTGTGTGCGTAAGAGAGCAGAGGAGTTGGAAGTGGAAGGGCGTGCTGTTCGAAGGGCGAACGTGGTCGCGTCTGACTGATTGTGTGGAAAGACGAAGGTTGGCGCACGGTGATTCACCATTGCAGTTAACAAGCATCAACAGCATTTCAGTGAGGTAAGTTCAGGCATTTAAGTTTCGTGCTGTGGTCGACGTTTCTGGGTGAGTCTGGGAATCAATGATAGGGCAATATTTAGATATGACGCGATGAAGTTTGTGAATGACAGGAATGGCGATTAAGGGTTTATGCTGAGTCGCTATGGCAAGCTATTCTGTTTTTAATAACGTAGTTGAGAACTGGAAAAATGGGTTTTGAAATCAGTAGGAAAATTGTCTGATTGACTGGAAAAATTATATGAACAACTGGAAATGACAATAACATACTGGTAAATGACTATGATCGAACCTAAAATGACCATATTCATAGTAATGACCTTACTGTCTGAATGAGTGGAAAGATTATATGAATAAACTGGAAATGACAATACCAAACTGGTAAATGACTATGAAGGAACTTGAAATGACCATATTCATAGTAATGACCTTACTGTCAGACTGTAATGGCCATGTTGGTAATGACAATGAATTAAGTGGGAATGACCATATTCATATAATGACCTAACTGTTAGTCTGTAATGGGCATATTGGTAATGACAATAAGTTAACTGGAAACGACCATATTCATACCGGCATCCTTACTGTCACTCTGTAATGGCCATATTGTAAATGACAATGAATTAATTGGAAATGACCATATTCATAGTACTGACCTAACTGTTAGTCTATAATGGGCATATTGGTAATGACAATAAATTAACTGGAAACGACCATATTCATACCAGCATCCTTACTGTCACTCTGTAATGGCCATATTGTAAATGACAATGAATTAATTGGAAATGACCATAACGAATCTGGAAAGAACTAGATGTGTAGTAAATGTATTAAAATTATGATTTAATGATGGTACCTTGATGACTTTGCAGAACTATACGAGATGGTGTTGGAAGAAGGGGAAGGGTCCACAAGCAAAGGAGTCCACAGTGGGCTTGTGTTGTTCAGAAGGGAGTATATGGCTAAACGAGGTGAGAAGTGTAAAAACGCAAGAGAAGAAAAAATTGAAGTGGGGAAGGCATGGAGGGCCCTGAGTGAAGAAGAGAAAGATAGGTATAATGAGAGGGCAAGGAAAACGAAGCCACAGAAAGGTGAGAAGAAGAAGTATGATGTTCCCTTGTACACCCGGTGCTCATTGCCCGGATTTCTATCATTGGCTGAATATGTGAAGAAGAACAGGCGGTTGAGGCAGAAAGTTCAGAGGATGGGATTTGGGAACTTGCTTAATGTGAATGTGAAGCAACTTCCACGTGATCTACTTGTGTCATTGTTGAGATGCTATGACCCACCAACGCATTTTTTGACCATTAGAGGGCAAGGGCAGGCAATTGAGGCAAAAGATGCGCATGAGTTTCTAGGTGTACCTGACAGTGGGGAGGAAGTGAAATCTGATGTTAGTGAGGATGACCCGGAATACAAGAGGTTGAAGGACACTTATTGGAAGGTTCCATTTACCCAGATACTGAAGAGGATATTATCTGGGGAAGAAAGCGACAATTTTGAGTTCCTATTTATGCTTTATACAGTTGGAGCTTTTCTATGTCCTGGGTCAAGCACAACTGTACATATACGTTTGTTGAAAGTGATGCGTCACACGATGAATGGGTTTTGGAAATATGATTGGTCAACGTACATAATCAAGAACCTGTGGAAGGAAATGGGAGACTTTGTGAAGATGACAAAGAAGAAGAAGAAAGGAACCTGCAATGTTGGAGGGTGTCTTTATTTGCTGCTGGTAAGTCAATATTTTTCTTATGGTTCACTATATTTTTGTCTTTTGTTATTGTTGCAGAAGTGTGACCTATCTTTATTTGGTTTTGCAGCTGTATTTTGTTGAGCGTTTCCCGCTGGGATTGTCTGTTGACCGGGGTTCAACAAGCGCCATTGAATATTGGACCGAGGAGAAGATAAAGGAGAGGGTGGAGAAAGAGAGAGGCAGCAGCATGGGAATATTGCATGGAAGCAGTGGCAGCGAGGTATACTCAGCAGGACATGAGGACAGTTCAATTTTGCAGTCTTTAGATCCGGTATGTGGGAACTTAGAAAATATACGTGACCTGAGTTTAAGTCAGTCTATTAGCAAGGTTGATACTTGAGATGACAAGACTTTATTTAGAAATGACCAGTGAGATACTGGCATTTGATAACAGTGAACAATTTTTTTGATATCTTCATTTACTGTGTATGCAGGCATTGAAGGAGTTGAGGGCTCGTTTTGTGAAGAAGCTTGAAGAAAGCCAGAGGACGTTAATGAAGGCTCTTGATGATGAGCTACTCAAACTGCAGATTGGATTGAACGCCAAAGTTAAGGGGATGGGGAATGAGAATGCCACTGCTAAAGAAGGGGTTGAAACAGTTGGTGATGCAGCTGGTAACGATGCTGAAGAAGCTGATGATGTTGACCGAGTGGTGGAGGAGATTGCAAGAGAGGTTGCAGCGGGAAGTGCAGATGAGGAACTTGATGAGGATGAAACCAGCAAAGGAGATGATGAGAAGGATGAGGATGAGGAACAACATGACCTTCATGACAGGGAAGTCAGTGATGATTACATGGTTGAGGAGGTGGAAGAAGAGGGTGACCGTGATGGTCATGGAGGTGATGACGACGACGATGAGGATGAGGAGGAAGATGACCATGATGACAGGGAAGGAGGTCATGTGGTTGATGAGGAGGAAGATGACCATGATGACATGGAAGTCAGTCATGATTATGTGGTTGAGGAGGCCGAAGATGATGATAAGGAGGTTCGGGATTCAGATGATGAGGGTGAGGAAGCTACACATGTACTGACAATGACCCCTACCAATGTTCCTTTGCTGTTGGATCGAGAATGGGTGAGCAGTGACAGTGGGGAGGAAGGAGGGCCTGAAAAATCGATTGACCTTAGGAGGTCAACAAGGGCAAAGAGTTCCACAATTAAATCTCCGTGGATAGAATTCAAGGCAGCTTCGAGGACGAAGAGGCCAAAGGAGGAAAGGGACATCTTTTTCACTTTAATATCCCGTAGACCCAAGGGAGAGGAAGAGGGGAATATGTAAGTATATCCGTAGCTAGTGTTTTGTTTTTAAATGACACAGTGTGCCCTGAAAATGACAGCAATAGGATTGAAAATGACAATAACATACATGGGAATGACAAGTATTGATGTCCCCAACACCATACTTTCTGTCACTGACATCTGACAATGTTTGCAGGACTGTCATCAAAATGTTTGATGAAGATATAGACCGACAACAGCTGTTTTCCCTGGGTGGAGTGAACAGAGTAAATAACAGGGTATTTTAGAATGCTCTGTCCCTGCACCCACGATTATGTTTGATAATGTTTGGTGAGATTATTGTACCAGAATGACGTTTTCACTTGTGTTCTGTAGGTGCTTAATTTGGTGTGCAAGGCAGTGATGGAGGACATGAAGGCAGAGTTGGGGCCAGGGAAGAGGCACATTTTCGATGTTGATTTCATGGTGAGGTTGCATAATTCCAAATGCAAATACCAATGACAGCAATTGAATTGGAAATGACTTGTTCTCTGTTAATGGATTAACAATTTCATGTCATGCAGAACATGATGGCACATGATCCAACCTGGAAAGCCCAAAAATATAAGAAGCTCTTTCTTCCTGAGTTCCTTGGCTACAACTTAGCTGAATGTGATTTCATAATTGGTCCTGCTCTTGTTGGCCAACACTGGTTTTGCGTTGCCATTCAGCCTAGCACATTGGATTTCCACGTAATAGACTCCATGAGGAACCATTTCGGAACCAAGGACAGAAAGCAGAAGAAGAAGGTTGTCATCAAAGACCCAGTGGAAATGGCTGTGGATGATTGTGTAAGAAAAAACTCATTATCTTTACCCTAGTTTTTGAACTTGGAAAATCATTAAACTTTCTATGTTGGTCCTGAATGTTGTTGCAGAGGAAGAGGCTCAATATTATACTGGACTTGGTCAAGCCAGGATTGGTTGGGAAAAAGCCAATGTCTCCCATGATATTTGCAGAAGTTCCCCAGCAGAATAACCTGTCAGTTTTGTCAAATTCGATTTCTGTGGGGTAAATGCACATGTCAGATGTGTTAACTAACTGTGCTGATATTGTTGCGTCCACAGGAGGGATTGTGGGGTGCACTGCATGATGTGGCTGAGAAGATGGGAACCTGGTGTGACCCTTACCTACACAGAGGAAGAAGTTGCTGGCTTTCGTCGTGACCTGACATGGTGGTTGGTCAATCATGAACAGAATGAAAAACGTGACGAGGCATTGGCCCTTATTCGACGACCACAACCAACCAAGAGCACAAAGTCCAAGAAAAGGCGTCGGTCTTAGGTGTCTCGATGTTAGGGTCATAATTCACTTGTCCTCTGTTAGATTGCTGTATGTAATGTGCATTGTAGGCTGACCAAAAATTTACTGTGTATTGTTATGGTTAACAGAGATTGGTGTCCATAAATGTATGATAGTTGAGAACCATGATGCCAATTTATTCCCCAGTGACATGAATGAATCTGGTTTTAACCACACAAAAACAGATGATGACAACAACCCCATTGGACATGTGCTATTGGTTTTCATTTTTTGTTCAGGTCACTAAATTTTACTTCAATATATCCTGTTGGTATCCAACAGAAAATGACACGAAGTGAAGCGAATATGACAGCGATAATGACAAGGATCACCTGGTCTGATTTTACAACATCAGTTCAACACGGCTGTCAGCTTATGCTGATAGCATCACTGCCAATGACCAGAACAAATTTAAAAATGACACGAAGTGAAGCGAATATGACAGCGATAATGACAAGGATCACCTGGTCTGATTTTACAACATCAGTTCAACACGGCTGTCAGCTTATGCTGATAGCATCACTGCCAATGACCAGAACAAATTTAAAAATGACACGAAGTGAAGCGAATATGACAGCGATAATGACAAGGATCACCTGGTCTGATTTTACAACATCAGTTCAACACGGCTGTCAGCTTATGCTGATAGCATCACTGCCAATGACCAGAACAAATTTAAAAATGACAACAAGTAATGCGCCATTAACAAAAGCTAACATCCCCATAACAGTAACTTCCTTTCATGTATTCAACAAGTGGACATTAAGATACTAGCCACACTTAATGCTCCGTTATCACTGAAATTTCTATCAGCTTACTTACAAAAAAATGTCTCCACCTAGCTCCTAACTACAACCCCAGTCCCAAAAAAGTTGACAAGGGCGGAGCATACAACTATGTACACCAAAAAATGACCCATCCCCACTGTACTCGAAACTTCATGATGGGTTAGGATTTCTGCAATTCCTCCTTGTGTGTCCAGGCTGGTGGCATCTTCCACAGTGGTATATCCGTTTGTTCTGGAACTGTGATTCATCCCTGTTTACTTTTGGCCTTCCTGGTGGTCGGGATGTCATGGGAGGTAGCAAGAAAACTTGCTCACTGACATTTTCTATTCTATAGTAGTCATTTGGGTGAGGCATGTCTGTTGTTACCACAGGAATCATACTGCGAGCATAGATCTTTTCTTGTGATGACTTTTTATAGCAATTATCAATATAATCATAAACATTGCCGTGCACAATCTTGATGGCAGCACAAGCATGGGAACAAGGGATCCCCGTCATTTGCCAAGATCTGCAACTGCATTGGTGTAGTCCAAGATCAACCCGATGGTCTCCACGTGATGTTGTCACCTTCACTCTTCCCCCACCATAATTTTCAGCATACATATGGTCAGACCCAGCCACCATATCCAGCACCTTACTCTCTATATTTGGACCAACGCAATTCTTCCATTTGGTCATACCCACATAGGAGGCATGCAGCTTTCTTGCAACTTTATCTCGGTGCTCATAGATCAATTGGGGTACAGTATGCTTTCTCTCATTCACCATCCATGCATTGAATGATTCTGCTATATTGGTTGTAATATTGTCCCATCTTTTATATGGGAACCTACTTTTAGCCCACCTATCTACATCCCCATGATGAATAAGCCAATCAAATAGCCTTGGAGAAAAGGATCTCATGTCATCCATTGCTGCCTCAAATTTCTCATCCGTCCTTGCGTATGCAATTTTATCCAATAAATATAGTGCATCCTCCTTTGATCGGCCATTTGTCCTTGTTTGCCCCTTATTCATTTTCATAACTTCTGAACTAAAATTCTCCTTGATGTGTCTATAACAAAAGGCATGCCTTTGACCCCCAAAGATTGATGCCACTCCTCCGATGATAGCATTGTGTCGATCTGATACAATCGTTACTTCCACAGAACCCAGGATTTTTTTTATCATATAGAAAAACCACGTCCAGTCATCTAGTGTTTCTCCCTTCACAATTGCAATTGCAAATGGCAGCAGCTCGTTATCTGCATCATAAGCTGAAGCTGACAACATTGTCCCCTTGTATGGTCCGCTTAAGTGAGTTCCATCAACATACATAATATGCCTCGCGCCACCCAAGAAACCCTCAATGCATGCCCCGTAGGCAATGAAAACACGCTCAAACCGGTTCCCAATAGCAGTCCATTCAGCCACTGATTTTTCATCTGTTTCCTTTATCCTTTCGCATAGCCATGGTATGAGCATGTATGATTGTTCAGGCCTGCCATATATGTCTTCCAGTGACTTCTCTCTTGCTCTATAAGCCTGTTTATATGTTAGATCAATCCCATACTCTCGTTTCAACCTCTTCCTTATCTCAGAAGTGCGCTTGTCTGCATGATCCCTCATCTCATCAATTATTATTGATGAGTTCAAACTAGCTCTTCCACTATGCATCACGTCCAAGCTATCTTGGGCAGAATGAACATGCCGGTTTATAAATGTCGTCACTCGTAGCACATCACAACTCTTCCCCACATGATTTGCACATAGCTTCCATGGACAACCCTCAACTTTACACCTTATCGACATGAATTCCTTGCTATTCCTCATATACTTGGCCACAAACTTGTTTGCAAGTGCAAACTTGTATACAGACACCCGAAATACATCTGCACTAGGAAAACGTTGGCCCACTCCTGTTAAAAGTCCCCTCCATTCCGCATGAACCATCTCACTACCATCCGTATCTTCAGCTCCGATAGATTTATCCACATTAGGGGGCCCACTTATTTCATCATTGTCACATTCACGAGCATTTTCTTCACTGAGCCAGCCATAATCACAACACAAACTAATGGGAGACGCATCCAGTTCCGTTTGCTGTGACATGCCCATGAATCTCTCTGTTCTGCATTCATAATGACAAGACTCGTTAACACAAATGACAAGAAGAAATTCATAAATGACAACAAATAGTTAGGACAAACTTCCACTTACATTTCTACATTGTCCCTTGGTTGGGGACCCACTTGTCTTTTTTCGGCGACATACACATGACCGCTGTTCCCATTGTATTGAAAGAGGTTATACATTTCAGCATTGTCATGAAGGTCAATCAATGTCTTCTCATCAAAGGCCACTGTGTACTTAATGTCATAATTTCTTCCATCGCCACCAATCCACTCAGATATCATTAGCCTCAATTCATCAAGTGTCAGCCCATCCTTAATGCTTCTTAACCTCACGCCACCTCCATTATATCTCACTTCACCTTCACCATTTGTCACAAATTTCCCCCCACATGAAAATAACAGAACAGCTCCTTCCCACAAGATGACCCAGCTTCGAAATTCATTTATCTTCATTACCTGCACTGATAACATAACAGAAGTCGAATGATTATATGACTTAATACCATCATCATCAACTTACACGACCAACTTAGGGTTTGACACATTCATGCTTATAATTTGCAACAAAACAATCATTTCTTTCCTGTCCACACTAATGCTTCATTTTCTCAGAATCAATCCACTCCATTATTCGAATCTCCCTCCAACATTGTCCATTTATCTGACACTAATCACTCTAACCCACTTGTGACGCCATCAAACCCCTCTCCCTCAGTGTTTTTCCTTCCCCGTGCATTCACCCTCTGATCACCGTCCTTCCCCCACACTTTCTATATACCCACGCCGTCTCCATGCTTCGCCACCCTCTCCACCTCAAAACCATCCCCACATCGACGACATTGCCATCCAACGGGAAGAGGAAAATCAACCGGCGCATAAAGGAGAGGGACAAAAGACACAGGCGAACAATATAGTCACTGGATACTAACCTCGCTTCCGTCGTTCAGTTGTTGCTTCGCGCGTTCATGCTCCCACGTTCGTGGTCCCTCCCAACTTTTTCCTCCAGCTCCCACCACAACTTGCACACTTCCACCGGTCACTTTTTCGGTTTGCATATGAGGGGCTGTTTTGTAATTGTGCAACATTTGCATAATCCCAAATCAGGCAACACTTCCCTATCTGGTAATACATTTGCTTAGCTTCCCATTCTGGCATTTTATTATTTCAGCCTTCTTTATCTGTCATTTTCCCATATATATTGATGACTCCATCTCCCTAGTTAAGTTGATCAGCCGGCCGCGAAAACAAATCCCCGCTTTCCATCTTCGTTTTCTGCATTGCCTCTTCCAACCAGCGGCCCACTGCTCCACTGCGAAGCTTGCAGGAGATGCGTCTCCAGTCTTGCCTCTTCCTCTTCGTTTTCTGCAAGTCGTGCGTTCTCCCAGTCCGTCGTGCGTTCTGCCCTCTCCCTCTCCAACTCGGCTACTCCACCAAACAAAGGAGATCGCCGTTGAACCCACGGTCACCTGCATGCATTCTGCAATTCGTGCGTTCTGCACTCTCCCTCTCCCAGTTCGTCGTGCATTCTTCCTTCTTCGATAGTTCCACGGAATAAGGTAAGTTCGAGAAATTTGTTATTCTATATGTGCTGCAAATGGAATGTGGGTTTGCTTAAATTGCGAAGTGGTGTTTTCTCATAATAGGATGTGGTTATTTGGCACCCTCGAGGAGGCTGAAAATCGAAAAGCGGTGATGAGTGATGGAGGTTTGGGAAGTGAAACTGTTGAAAGCTTTGGATCTCGGTTAACTCTTTGAATATACCTATTCAGATCTATGGGAGACGGATTGAAGAATCTCAGAGTAAAACCAACTTTACGGTGCCTTGCTGTAAACATGGTCGAATGGAAACCTTTGTCTTGGATTTATAAGGCAAAAAGCTTTGGTTCTCTCTTTTCTGTTAACCTCATTGTAGTCTTCATGGGGTTAAATGGTCTGATTGATGGATATGGAATAGGTGCTATGCTGTTTGTTTTGATTTTTGCTTCATGGAGTACCTGAAATATGAGATATATGTGTGAATTTGTAACGAAGGATCTGGTTAGATAGATTTTCACTGTTTGAATCTCTGGCTTTAGTTCGTCTAGTGCTTATCGCAGTGTTCTTAAAGGTTAAATGGGGCTTTAGCTTTTTCTTCTCTCAAGATATGATTGCCATTGATAGAGGTGGTGTTTTTTTGGGCTCAACTATGTTTCCTGCAGTAAGCTTTGTTGAAGTTTTGGAGTTTTGGAAATTGTTGCTCAGTATTGTAACTTAGCTTCTTTGATTAAGGAGTTCAACTATGGAGTTCAT